AACAGCAAGCACAGGCTCATAATATTATCACCCTAGATTGTGAACTGGAGACAAAGGGCAGATCCCGTGCCCCCATACTAGATCATTCTGTTTCTAACAGTTGCCCATATGTGAGGCTTTGGAGAAACTGCTCTGCTCTGAATTCAGTTGTGCAGCTTGTATGTTGAAGCAGGGAGATTCCATTCTTACCTCTGAAAGTGCTCAGCTCACTCCTTTAACTGAGACTTGATTTTTCAACACTTGCGATAGAATAAGGTCAAATGAAATCAGTGAGAATGTTGTTATTTATTACATTGGGAGCAAGATCCTGCCCATAGTTACTGGTCATGAACTTATCCACTTAATATCAGAAAATCCTGATGTTCTTAAAAGAACTTCCTTCTGTAAAAATGGGGATGATAATTGTATATTCACAAAGTTGTGAGGATTAGCTGGTTTGACAAATGTTCCATAGTAGGAGAAATTACATACGATCTTTTTTCATATGAACCTGATCTGGTATCATTGCTTTGATCCTTTTTCAGTTTATGGACCTTCAGGAAACTTGGGGAAAGCAACTGAAAAACCAAGCAGCAAAGAGAAAGACAAGACCTCATCAGATTCTGGGTCTAAAGAAGGAGCTGATAAGAGGAAACGTAACAGAGTCACTGAAAAGGTCTTAAATGCAAATAGCAATCCCTCCAGTCCAAGTGCTGCTAAACGGCGCAGAACATGAGGAAGTCGTGAAAGACTTTGTTTAAGTGTAGTCTTCAACTACAGAATCTGGGTAGGGAAGATTAGAAGGAAAGCCATCATAAAGACTTGTTCATTTGGGAAAAGTATGTCTGAGTCCGGTATTCAAAGCATCTGCACATTGGTGTTACATGTGGAAATGGACTTGCCTATCCCCTCTTTTAATTTACTTGGTCAGCATTGCATAGCTAAATGATGGCTATGTCCTCAACATACTGAAGGAGAAAGCTGGCAGCTTTTCAAATGTGTGTGCTTAACAAGTTGGGCGGTAGCATTTTAAAATATCAGTAACACACACACACACACGCACACCGTGTCGTACTTCCAAAAAGGAACTTTTGGGAAGACAAGAAGCCGCAGTTCATGATGAGTTTAGGTTATTTGCAAAGTTTAGATTCGTTTCACGTCTTCTGTTTGCTGCTTTCTTTGAGTACTTGAATCTCTTTGTGGGTGACGGTTCTAGAACATTTTACTTACAGCAAAAACAACGTTTTTATTGGATGTCTGACTTTGTTGGTCCAGTAAAATTGAGTTAGTATATTAAATACAGATTGCTGTATTAAGAAGAAGTAAAACCCCTTTCTGATGGAGGCTTGATGGTGTAACATATTAGCACGTACTGTAAAAAACGTCAGTGTTTTGTTTCCAAATTGAATTTTTCATAAGTGGCCTAAACTAAAATGTCTTGTAGTGCCAAGTGGTATAAATGGGTTCACCTGGGAATGCAAGAACCTTGAGCTATTGTTCCACCCACTTATATTGTAATAATGTATATAACAGTTGTTTTTGTATTTCACAGATTGCAATTTTTAAAACTTTTATTAGGGGGTTGTTAAATTGAATTAAGATTGCAAAATGTTAATCTTTTGCAGTTACTGTACTTACCTGAAGTTGTCTTAGTTTAAGCTCTTAAAGATTTATGATACTTTTCAATTTAATGTTTTGAAAATCGCAGGATTTTGCAGGTTAAGCTAGTGAAAGAAGCAGGTGGTAGTGTTGGTGAATTGTTTCTCTGGCTATTAATCTTACTGTTTAATTAAAAAAATTACAATGCTTCTTTGTCTGGCAGCATTTCTGTCAAGTTGAGGAATTAGAGATCTAATAGCCTGTGTTTTACTGCATATGCCTGGCCAAATTTTTCACTGTTGACTCGTTAATTTCTTTTGGTTTACATCAAGAATAAATTTGGCTCGTCGTGTGTAATTAGATGCTCGCTGCATAAGTGAGCAAGAAAACAGGCTCAAGGCTTGGTGTTTTGGGAGGTATTTAGCGACCTACATACTTGAGAAAAATCTCACAAGGCCCTTCCTCACTTGCATCATTAAAAGCCTAAAATACTTTTGAACATCCAGCTCTTAGTAGCTGGATTTGGACCTGGCAAATTGCCCAGTGATGATTTATGGCATTTATGGATTCTGCAGCACTCACATGAACCCTGCCGAGAAGTACATCCTATCCCCCTGCTTCCACTCAGTATGCACCAGTCCCAGAAAGAGGGCAGTGAACCTGCCCTGAGGGTGGTACCTGCCATAGACAGATCTCAAGAGACATGCCCTTAAATGACACGCCAGGTGAAATCCTGCTCCTACTGAACTACAGAAGCTTTGCCAGTCACTTCAATACAGCCAGGATTTCACCTGTTCCGATTAATACAGTTATCAAGTGACATGTTTGTCCTTCTTTTCACTTCCTTCTGCTCTTTTTTTTAAAGCTGTTCTATTAAAATTAATAATAGTCTAGTCTGACATTATGATGTGTCTGATCTTGTGTTAGGTGCTAGAGCAGGCTACGTTCCCCGGTACTCTGGTACCAGAAAATATTGTCTACAAATGGCCAGTCAAAGCCAGCTCTCTGCCATCCCATTCCATTTGGTTTATTGAACTTCACAATGACAAGGGATCTGTAAAAAGCACTTGAGTTCATTTTGAGGGGAAATGAGGAGAAACAAGTCTTTAACCCATTGCAACCCATGGATTCAAGGGGTTGTAGGACAAGATGTGTGCTGTTAAACCTTACACTGTTCAAACTTTATGTAGATTCATGCCTGTTTGTTGGCATAATTTCCACTCTGCCCACTTTCACATGACCCCTGAATTTTGGCCAATTGAATTTAATGGGAGTCTACGCTGGTGCCATGCTCCTTCTGGGGGAAAGTGAAGATTGTAGCAAGAAAAGCAAATAAAAAGTGCGTGTGTATCTGCACGCACATTTTAGACTAACCCATATTTTAACCTGTCCTAAGGATATAGAGCAAAGTATAAGTTTCACTATGCATGTTCTGTGCATGCACAGATTGGTAAGTATAGCTTAAAAACAAGAGTATAAGGGAGTCTGATTTACACCTCTTTCATGTCACACCTTTTTATTTTGGTGGTGGTGTGTGTGAGGAATGAGGTTGTCAACTGATGTCATAGGATTGGTTGTAAGCAAGCAAAGTGCTTCCTGCCTGACACCATGCTTCCTCTTAATGGATGTGATATACATTCCCCGGGATTAAGTAACCACCAATCAGACCACCAGAGTTCAATTCCAATTTAGCATTTCCACTGACTGCTTCAAAAATATATATATGCAGCCTTTTTGTCATATTCCATAGCCCTGCCTAAAGCTTTTTGCTCAGCTGATTGAGGAATGAGGTCTACTGAAGGAAGTGCTGTATGGACCGGCCACTCAGCAGATGCAGTGTTGTGAGATCAGAAGTCTTGTGAAGTTTAATGCTTAGTAGGAGGTTTGGTAATGCAAACACTGAGACCAATTTGGAAGCCTCCTTTGCAGAAGGAAAACCAAACAAGGCTCTGGCAAGGCTGTCAGTACTCTTGATTCTCGCCCTTTCTTGTACGATACAGTACAAATACAGAACTGGGACAGTCTTGAAGTTCAGATGCAGGTGTATTGTATACACAGTGAAAAAGGGAATTAAAAGATAGTTCTGACATTTTCAGCGGGGAAAAATGCTTTGCTGCTTTTGACTATTTGCTAAAACAAAATAACTTGGTCTTTAATGGAAAAAAAAATTAAACTTACTGCTTATTGCTATAATGAATACCCCTTTATGCTATAATGTTCATGTGGCTATAGCAAGTCACAAGGTCTGTTTTTAAGCCCTTCATTTCTGATACTCCGCTCCCACATTTTGCTCACATACAAAAGGCCAGAATGAGTGCTGACGCAGAACATGGTAGAGCCCTCCAGATGCAAAGGTGCAAACTGGTAACACAAGGAGCAGCATTTTCCTCTCCATCAGACAAAGAACAGAGATCAAACTGAGAGTGCTTATTAAGAAGAGGATGTCAAGAGCTGAAGGGGATTGACTGAGTATTTTCCTTCAGAAAACACTGAGACAGCACTCCCCTAGCCTCCAGGTCAATCCATTTGGAGTTCAGGAGCCAGATCTGTGCCTTCACTGCAAGAATGGCCTTGCAAAAAAATTAAAGAGGTGTTGTTTTGCAGTACTTTTGGAAGACACTGCGCCAGCTCCAAACATCACCGCACACCCATGCAACCTCCCAGGGCAGTCTGTGGTCTGCAGCATCTCCTTACTCGCTCCAGGTAGCAAAGCCAATCCTTCAGGGTGACCTACAATGCTTTTCCAAGTCAAGACCCTTCAAAACACAGACCCCCTTACAAGCAACCAGCATGATTCCAGACTAGGGTTGTCAACTCTGTTTGAATCTATGCTAGAAGGTTTCCAGAACACCAACGTGCCCACAACACAATGCGAACATGCCCACGCGCTTCGTCTATCGGTTATGGATTACGGTGCACAGACTTTACATCAGGAAGGTAAATAAATGAACCTATTACATTTTAAAACCCTCTGGCCTCCTGCATAAATTGGATTCGACATTTAATATTTATTTTAATGAAGGCCCTATCAAGGTTTGTATATAAGATTTTATTTTAAAGAAAGGTGAAGGCCTGATCGTTTATCTCCCGGCTGACTCTCAGCAGTCTCCTGGGGATTTCTCTCTCATTCCTGGAGGCTCCAGGACTCGCAACCCTATTCCAGACGCCCCTTGCCCCAGCAGGGTGGTGGGGGAGGATAAAATGGCCTCTTGATCCTTCCCTGCCCCTAAACGAGACGCTCATGGAGTGGGATTGAAGCGAAGCCGGCTGCGGCCGAGCCCTTGCCCCTCTCCCGCCAGGGCTCGTAGCCGCGGCCGGATGGAACGCGCAGACAATGCCAGCGTTCTACCGGCGCGGCGCAGCCAATGGGCGGCCGGGGGGCAGGAAGAGGGGGCGGGGCCGGCAGCGCCTCCCCCTCGTGGCGGCTGCTCCGGCCGCTCCTTTCACTTTCCGTTTCCCAGCCCCGCTCCCCTATGGCGGCTTGGCTCGGCCTCAGGCCGCCGGAGGACGCCGAGGAGGAGGACGAGCAGCTCTGGCAGTACGACTCCAGCTGGGAGGACGAGGAGGAGGGCGGGCAGGAAGGGCTGGCGGAGGAAGAGGAGGATGGCGAGGAAGAGAAGCCGAGGCCGGTGTGTTCGCGAGGCTCTTCCCAGGCCGGCGGCTGGCAGGTGAGAGCTGGGAGGAGGGGGATCCTCTGTGTCTGTCTCCGCTCCTCCATGCATCCACCCACCCAGTGCCCTCCCCAGCTCCTCCGCAATGCATCGCATCTTTCCCTTCTGCCGGGTTTCCCCGCTTTGCTGTTAAAGGTCCTGTGACCCCCCCCTGTGCTGCATAACTTGCCTCCCCTCTCCTGGAGAGCAGCAGCAGCATCCCCAGCTCTGGAAGGAAGCCAGGCATCAACTGTTGGTCCCTTTCTGAGCAGATCCATCTCTTCCCACCTTCCTTTCTTAGGGACCGGATCAGCTGAAAGCATCTCCAAGGTCCTTTCACTCCTACCAGTGTATCATTTTTTAATTTGTTTGCAATAACGATGACCTGTGTTTTCAAACGCTGCGTGGAAGAGTCTGGCAGTGACATTAGGCATCGACTTTGCAGGGGGTGCAATCACCTACCCTGGAAATCCTCAAGACAGTCGCGTTGCTGAGGTTGCCTGACCCCCGGTTGCCTTTCCTGCCTGGTGCCCGATGATCTGCTGAGGTCCTTCCAGCTTTACAATCTATGAATCTCTTTGAGCTGGCAGAGGGGGGGTATTATGAGTTATTTTTTGGTGAAAAATATTAAAATATCTGTAGCTGTTCCTCCCAAGTTGCATTACACTGCCACATGCTGCTGCTTGGCTGCTTTTCTTACTCCTAAGCCTGGATATTTTTGTTATGACCAGGCCTGGCCTTTTGTCTCCACTTCCTGGAGTTTTTGACATAATAATTCACAACCTTTGACACACTTCTGATACCTTCAATGCTCCAGTCTGCACTTCTTTATGTCAGTATTTGTAGTCTTTTGTTGGTGGCCCTGCTCTTCACATTGTCAGTTATTTGCCCTTAAGCCATCTGTCGTCTTTATTTTTAAAGAACAATTTAAAACTTGCTGGGATTTTCTAAAAGGCTTCTTCTGGGAGGGGAATTATAGGTCAGCTGTAAAAACTGAAAGCCCTGCCTCTTAATGTTATATTGCGCAGCAGATCTCTGTTTAATGAGAGGTTATGGTGCTGCAAAATGTGATCCTTTAAAGCTGATGTCTTCAGTAATGGATAAAGACCTTATTTAGTCTCCTCAAGTATCTGACTTCAGCAGCAAATGTCAGTAATTTTCCTGATACTGCTTTACAGATCTTTCATTCTGGATTTTGCCATTCAGTTTTAATAGGAAAGCAGAATCCTTCACTGTTGGGTTGTGGGGTTTTTTCTTCCTCTTTAATTTTCTTCTTTCATCTGACCACTCCCACCTAGGAGAAAGGAAACTTGTGTTTGAGTTAAGTTTCCTTTTGATATCATCAGGGCAACGTTTAAATATATGACGTCACATATTTTCTCGTGTCTAAGGAAGTCGATCCTTTGGAAGCTCTTTGTAAATGAGCCTTTTGATCCCCCCTTGGAGCACAAACAAATCAAGCGTCCTAGTATTTTCTTTCAAGGGTAGAGACTTTGGCAACGTTTGCAAACGGAATGGAGGCTTCAGTGTGATGGATAAGGCGCAGCACCCACACCGGGCTCTGCCACCTTCAGTGAAGCTCCGCTCATGCAGATCCAGTGGCAGAATCTCATCCCAGATCAAGAGCTTTGCTGAAAAACCTGTCGTGACTCATCCAGCGTGCAAAACCTTTACCTCTGGTTGTTTAGCACCAAAGGATTGCCATTCAGTCAAATGTGGCCTCCAAAATTAGGTTTTATTTTGAAGAGAGATTTTTTTTTTAAGATCTTTGAAAAATTTCACAGATTTTAAACCCCACGGGAATGTTTTGATCATTTCTGTTCCTGCCAAAGCAATTTTTGGAACGAGCCAAATGCTTTCCTGGCTCGTGTTGATGCATAGGACCAGAGAGGGACATAGATTACAAGCTGGTTCTCTTTTTCTCTCTTGCTCTCCACTGAGAAGATGACCTGTTGCTGACATCTGAGCGTAAGAAAGGACAGTCTGCCTTCAGTGAGTGGGTTTTTTAAGCCCTTCTTTTTTAAAAAAAAAAGGATGGTTGATAACAGTGCACAAGGTCTTGAATCCACACTTGTCACCAGAAATATCGATGCCTTTTAAACACATTAACTCTTCTTTCATAACTGTATTGTCATCTCCTTCCAGATGAGGTCTGCAGTAATCTTTGAGGGGCTTGGAAGGACACTTAGACCAAAAGAGAATGTTATTTTCTTGCTGTAAACTTAATCCATGCATCTGCAACTCGGTAACAGTGCCGATCTTTATACAACCGGCTTCCCCCTGCCTCTATTAAACTAATTTAGATTCATTTCTCTTCAGTCTAGATTGTATTCTTTGTTCATGAAGCTGTCTGAGTTTTTTGAGGATCCTCTTGGTCTTTCCGATGCACAGGTAGAGCTTTCTTTTTATTTTAAATCTGCGTTTTCAAACAATTGGCTGAAACTAAATCTCAAATTGTATCTGTCATTAAGTGGAGATGACTATGGATATGTCTCTTCAGATTGCTTGTGTTTTAACGCCTTTAAATATATGCCTTTTCCATTAAATATCTGCATTCCTTCCCCCCCTCCGACTCCACCCCGATCTGATATTTTGGATTTAGTCTCGTTCTGTAAAAAAACACTTGCTTGGCTTCCCATAGAGCAGCAGACCTCATGTGTTATTAGAAGGAAGCCACGGTATGGCACAAATGACTTATTTTGCATTCTCCAGTCTGCAGGTAATTTTTGTAGGGGTTAAGGCTTTGTTTGTTCGGGTTTCTGTTCCTAATATGCTGTGGGCCCTTTCTCTGTCTGTGAGTCTTGCTGCTGCCTGCACATTGTCATCTCTCTTTTGGGGCTGGCTTCCAGTTCTCAGCCAGACATTGCTTGTATCCATCATGCCTTTCACCCTCTGACCCTGTTCTCTAATTTTTCTCTTGCTCTTCACACCAGGGTGCAAGGCTTACCTTGGTAGTGATATTGGACCGGTGGGTGGACGCACAAGTCAAGAGATGCGCATCGGTGCATGGTGTGGACAGAAATATATTTTGTTCCTGGGCTGGGAGGAGATCATAAAACTTCCTAGGACAGCCTATTTGGCATGAAATGTGGGTTGCCTACTACTTACCCAGCGTGCTTTGTCTGATCCTCTTCTCTTATGGCTCTTCCTCTTGGAGCCAGCTGCTTTTCAGTACATCTTGCTGCACTTCTGCTCCTTGACTTGGTTTGGCTTCTGCATACTTTTGTGTGCGTCTCAAATCCACATTTGCCTTTTGCTTTAACCCTAGTCTGGAATTGGAGCACATCTTCTGTTATTTTGTGATGGGCTGTTTTGTTGGAGGCCAGTGCCCTCGAGGATGCTAGAATGCCCAGTACAGACAAGGTGCTTGGCTGGGACTCCTAGTTTATCTGGTATCAAGGGCAAAATTCCTTGGGATTTAACACCTGGAGTTCAAAAACCATATAACCAAGAACATGCATAGGTTTCATAAAACTAAATTAGGGTCTCCACTTACAACTCGAGCAAAGAACAGTACTTATCTCCCTAGGTGATAGCACATTTTGAAAAGGAGGCTCTTACAAATATGCAGTGTCACTGATACTCCAAAGTCAAATTTTGGGAAATCTAAACCCTGTACAGGCTGTTGATTTGTATGGTGATGGGCAAGCCCCACAGTCTGCGACATCTCATGTCAAATGGAAATAACACTCATCTGCTTTGGGGGATTTATCAAGTACCAAAGGAAGTTCCAGTTCTGTCTGGTTAGCCCCTTCACTTTACTGGGGGAGTGTGTGGGAAGGGTTTACCACAAGGGTGGGCAAAATGCGGCCCACGGGCCAGATGCGGCACGCCAGGCCATTCTATCCGGCCCGCGGGGCCCCTAAAAATTTAGAAAATTAATATTTATCTGCCCCTGGCTGCCTGTCATGCGGCCCTTGACAGTTTGCCAAAACTCAGTAAGCGACCCTCCTGCCAAAATAATCACCCACCCTTGGTTTACAGCAAGAGGAGCTTTTGTTTTGGGGTGGCTGTTGGGTTTTTTTGGGGGGAGGGGGTCCTCTGTTGCTTTATCTATGGTTTCAGTCCTTGGGAGTTTTTCTAAAGATGCCTTGCATAAGCATGCACAATACATGAAAGACTGCTGTTCAGTTTTTGTATTATTAAAAAAAATAATAATTGGGACTGGAGTGATAAAACACTTGGCTGTGAGCTACTTGGTACAAAATCTAGTTCCACCCTAATAATGCAGCAGGGAAAGTGATCTTTCCCCCCCATTGATTCGGTGTGTCGGGGTTTTCCCTTCAGACAGAAGATGGAAAGTAGCTGTATGCAGCAACTGTGTGTGTGTGCGTGTGTGTGCGTGTGTGTGCGTGTGTGTGTAACTACCTTTTATCTGACTCTTTGGAGTGCTCATTTTCCAGGATGTGGAGTCCTCTGTCCCTGATCCACAAAGTACTTGTCTACTCCAGACTCCACTGGTATCGCTGCAGTTCTGCAGTACAATCTGCTTTGGACCAGGAAGGGTTTTGGTGCACGAGAAGCCCTCAGTGAGACCCCTCGGGTCCTTATTGATGATGCACGTTGATGGACTGAGGCCAGAACACTTGGCACCGTGCCGGATTGCACCTATTTGCAGTTCTCTGCCATCCAGGCTGAAATAAAAAATCCGCTGTCCTAACTCCTACTCCCATATGGTGCAGAGACGAGGGAACTCAGCTTTTTTTTTTCTTTTTTTCCAGCAATTCTATCTAAATATTCTTAAATTGATAAACATGTCTCAGATCTCTGGGCCTGGTTCTTGCACCTGTTTATGCACCACTGTCATTTTAATCGACTTGCCTTAAATCTTATCAGCATCATGGAGAGAAGAATTGGGTATCAGCTGGTCCGTGGCTTATTTTAGCAATCATTAAAAGGACAAACAAAGTGATTTTGTAATGAGTAGAATATGTTGCTCCACTGATTTGAATATTAAAACATTGCCACCTGTTAATTAGTAGCAATCTGTATACATTTTTTTTTTTTTTTTAACTACTGTTGAAGTTTGGCTTCAATAGCACTGTTCTTAAGTTTCTCATTAAAGTACCTTTTTTATTTTTAGGAGCAAAGAAGAACAAATGTACCATACCTGAGTCAGAGAGGTTTTGAGGTAGGGTTCAAACAAAGCTTTGCTTGACTGAAAAGACAATGATGGTCATTATGGGAAGAAAGTGAAACAAAAAACATCTGTTGACCCCTCGCTACCTTACCTGCCTTTGCATAAGATGCCACAGTTGCTTCTCTTCCACGACAGAAGGTTGCTCTAGGCTGTGGAAGAGCCTGGGTCAGCAGAGCTCAAAGGGAGAGACAATCCTGATAAGACACCTATTGAAAGGCTTATGGGAATGTGCTCTATTAAACACATGTGTAAAGAAGGCAAATGATATCTTACTACACAGGGTTTCCTTAACCCCCCCATACAGGTGGGAAAACCATTTCTTAAGAAGCCCCAGACCTCTATTCCTAGCCTAGACAAGGCCTCAGATATATGCCTTGTTCTGTTCACCCTTTCACATCCCCACATCCAGTGGTGATATTTGTAGGGTTTGGCCTTTCTCTCCTAAAGCTGGATAGGACCAGTTCAGTCCCTGGCATAAGTTGGGTACAAACTCAATTTAATCAAATGAGCTTCTGTAGTCTGGTGCTGGTTAATAAGACTAGGAAAGAACATGAGTTGCGTTGCTACAGAGGATGACGTGTAGGCATCGTAGCCCACAGGAGTGCAGTGGAAGAGCTAAAGTAAGATGGGAGCGCACCCCAGGGGAGGTGGGATTTCAGACCGGTGTGGAGGATTATGATGGGGCGGGAGGGGGATGTTTGCAGGCAAGAGCTTTGTCACATTAGACTGCAGGGGATTTACAGCAGCGGTTCCCAATCTGTGGTACACATACCACCAGTGATGCATGTGAACAGATTTAGGATAATTACCTTATATGACAATAAATTTGCTGGTGATACTTAAAGTTTGTATCGTTTTAAATTGGTGGTGCGCAATCTGCCGAGAGTTTGGGAACTGCTGGTTTACACCATCGTTGACAGCCAGCTCACCTAGAGGAAATGGGGAAGAACAATTTTGTTCGAGTTTGGTTTTTCCTTCTGATGAAAGGCTTTTCCTCCAGATCTTTGATTTGTCTTTTTTTTTTTTTTTTCTCCTTCCTTCAGTTCTCAGCTGGACGTAACTGGAGAGCAGCGAAGGACTTGCAGAGATACAGGCGCCATTACCCGGTACAGCCTGGGAATTTATGGATGCTCTTTCTTTTTCCTTCATGGAACCTGGGGAGCAACTTGTGAGACTTTGGTGTGGTGTTTGATTTACCTGAAGTTGGTAGAAAGGAAAACTTCACTTTTAAGTAATTCACTTATTTCACTTCCATCAATGAGGTGCACCCATTGCCCCTGCCAGCTCAGAAAAAAACACTGAATACCAATACACCGGTATTCTCAGACTTTGTAGGAAGATAAAAGGATCCAAGGGGAATTTCTTTTATGTACATGTGGCATTTACTTCTTGCTAACGCTTCTCTTGCCTGCAGGGTTTAGAAGAATCGGAAGCAGATGAAGAAGAGGAAGAGATGTGGAATCTGAGTTTTTACAAAAACGAAATTAACTTTAAGCCTCGTGGTATGTATCTCACCTGGGCTTCCCTTGGAAGATGCCGTTTTAATATGCAGGAGCTCACAATGAATTGGTAGAAGGAAAATAATACATATATCAGTTCCCAGCGCTGTGCTCGGTCTACCCAAGCAATATCCTGTGACCTACCTCCGTGGTTGCACTAGTTGCATGTGCTCAGGGTTTTCTATTTAGAATACAGAACGTAAGCAATTGCTTGGTTGTTTTTTATCCTTTGTTTCTATTGCATGTGTTAGAGAAACCATGCATCCCTTAACAGTCTATTTGTTAAGATCAAAACAAGCTGATTTCCTTCATTCTCACAAATAACCTGGTAAGATGTGGTTCAGCTAAAGCTACTGGAAGATGTGTGCGCTGGTAGTTGGAAATCCATAGTCAAAGGCTAGTTCTCAGTAGGTTGCTGTAACTAGAAGGATGGGGTTTCTCAGGGGTCTGCCCCGGGTCCAGTATTATTAATGACTTAGTAAGCCTACCTTCTATTCCAGTATCAAAGTTTTCAGATCTGATACCAAGATTCGAGGGCTTGCGGTTACTTTGGAGAATGGAACTTTCTTTTGAAATGAGCTTGGAAAAATCAATAAGCACAATATCATTTAGGAAGGACAAGTGCAGAGTGTTACCTTTTCTTATCAAATGCACAAATGCAAAACAGTTATGTGGAAAACTATCTTGGGAGATATTGTGGGCCACAGACTGAAGATGTGTCAACAATGTCGTTGCCAAGGTGCTGTCCTGACCTACCAATGACATCACTATCAGAGGCTGCAGCTACCAGCTGTTACTATGCAACTGCTACATCTGCATGTTATTATAATGATACAATTGTAGCAAACCTGATAGGCCTTTAGGGTCTTCTTCCTTCAGGAGCAAAGTTAGGGTCACTGAGCTAAGTCGTATCGCTACAGTCTCATGCAGCGGTAACAGTTACAGCATAGCAGCTCATGTGCATACCCAAGCAGCAGCCCCCTACCCCTCTTAAAAGATAATAAAATGTACATTTGTCCATGCCGGGCTGCATAAACAGGAGCATTTGTGTGTAAGATGGGTCAAGGCTATCAACGCTGCCTTACCAGAGTCTAGTTTGGGGTGCCACACTTCAAGAAAGATGTGAATTAACTGGGGAGAATTCAGAGAAGAGCAAATAATAATAATAAAAAAGTGAGCAGAGGTCTAGAAAAAATGATCTCTGATGGAAGATAGAAAGAACTGGCATTATTGCATCTAGTCAATTAACTCTAAACGTTCTCATTTGGTGCATTTTCTTCTGTCACCCCAGGTGTATATATTGACACCCTCCTTAAAGATTGGTGCCATGATTATGAGACGTTGGAAGAAAACCATTCCTACATACAATGGTAAAGTTGCTACAAAAGGAAATGACTATTTAGGGATCTTCTTCAGATGTGTATCAAATATGTTTGCTACCGCTGGCATTGTCATCTTGGAACAGCGTCAGCCTGCCTCCCAATTCATTCTGAATGGTTAAATTGATTTTTAGTGCATTATGTTCCCATGAGATTGAGAAGGCTTTGGGTATCCTAAAGTTAAAGATTTCCTGTACAACTGTATGCAGACTTCTATGCCTGGCTGCTGTACCTTTGACACGGACACCGTGGTGATAGATCAGTTGAAATCCAGATGGCTAAAAAAGACTGCTCAGAGTACACGTGGGTGCAGTGATTTCTTGCAGTGTAATAGCCTGTTATGGATTAAGTTCCCTGTGTAGTTATACAAAGTTATGTCCTATTTAAGAGGACATTTGGCCTCCGTAGTGCTTGGACTGTTGATGCACCTCACAGTGGAAACCTGTTGTTATGGAGCACGAACTCTGGGTTGCATTTCATATCCCCTTTAGTCTGATCTGCCAATCTTCTTCCCCTCCCAGGTTGTTTCCGCTGCGTGAACGTGGGATGAATTGGCAGGCAAAGCCCCTCACGTGTAAAGAAATCCAGGTGCAACTTTTTATTTCAAACTCTTTAAACTTGGCAGGTATTGAGGGTTCTCCTAGGTAAAGTTCTACCCTAATGGTAAGGTTGCTCCATTGCTTTCCCCACATGCCCTCAGCATATAATAAGACCGGAGCTGTCTCCAGTGGCTGGTTTAAT